TGGAGGTGAGCGGGGCGAGCGGGGCGCTGGTGGTGAGCTCGCGGCTGGACCGGGAGGAGCTGTGCGGGAAGAGCGCGCCGTGCTTGCTGCGGCTGGAGGTGCTGGTGGAGCGTCCGCTGCGCGTCTTCCACGTGGAGCTGGAGGTCACGGACATCAACGACAATGCCCCCATCTTCCCCGCCGCCCGAAAAAACATCAGTTTACCCGAGAATTCTCCTCCCGGGTCTCGGTTCCTGCTTGAGGGCGCGTCGGATGCAGATATTGGAGTGAACGCGCAGCTGTCCTATACAGTGAGTTCCAGCGAGCATTTCAGAGTAGAGGAAGAAAACAGTAACTCGCGCAGTAAGTCCCTGTTTCTGGTGCTCACCAAATCACTGGACCGGGAGACAATTCCTGTGCACCGGTTGTTGCTGACGGCGAGTGACGGGGGCCGGCCGTCTCTGACGGGCACAGTGGAACTGGTGATCTCGGTGCTGGATGTGAACGACAACGCACCCCAGTTCAACCAGTCGGTGTATAACGTAGTTTTGCCCGAGGACGCATTAGAGGGGACGCTGGTGGCGCAGCTGAACGCCTCGGATTCAGATACGGGAATATATGGCGAAATGGTTTATGAAATTGATACTGTTGTTCCTCCCTCTGCCTCAGATATGTTCAGTATCGATACAAATAGGGGAGAGATCAGACTGAGGGGAACACTGGACTTCGAAGCAGTTACTTTATACGAACTACACGTTAAAGCAACAGATAAGGGTACACCCCCACTGTCGGGTCACTGCAAGGTGGTGCTGGAAGTGCAGGACGTGAACGACAACGCGCCGGACGTGTTGGTGACGTCGCTGTCGGTGCCAGTGCCCGAGGACGCGTCGGTGGGGACGGTGGTGGCTGTGCTGAGCGTGTCGGACCGGGACTCGGGGGCGAACGGTCGTGTGCGGTGCTGGGTGTGGCCGTCGGGTCCGTTCGGTCTGGAGGCGACGTTCTCGGGGTCGTACTCGCTGGTGCTGCGGGAGGCG